AGGGAAAGGGCATGGCCCAGCCCTGACCCGGCCACGTGGGAGGGAGGACTTGAGAGTTTGACAGTATTAATTGCCACTGCTCCTCCATCACCAAATTTTTCAACCCATGGGGAGCCCTCTAGGATGCATGCCATGGCTCCATGGGCTAGGGTTGGGATTGAGCACCCCTGGTCAAGAGACTGACTTGCTTCTCTCCCTGCCCAAATTTGGTCAGCTAAAAGACATCTAGATTTCCCAGTTGAAGCAATTTGAGGAGAATATGCTGTCACAAGAACCCGTCCAGTCTGTCTGCCTCCTTTGCACCCTGGCCAAGCAGGGCTCTTTAAAAGAGCTGATCCCTGAAGTCGATAGAAAAACTCACATGGAATTTAATGGGAGCGGGTCCCAGCTCGATCACAGACCAGCGGTGCCAGATGATTTCCGTGCAGGGCTGGCATCTGAAATGAGCCGGCGCTGCGTGATTCCATGTGCAGAGCGGGGCGGATCATATTTTTGTCTGAGCTTTGCAAAGTCTAAGGACACGGAGATCCAGGATTTTTGTTCGGGCCCCACTGCTAGTTTCAAAGAGCCCCTAAAGCACGTACGAGAGAGATCTTCTCCTGAACCGCAAAAACCACACAGGACATTCCAGGGACGCTCTTAAATGCTATTGTGAGCTGGCGAAAGCCTTTCCCACCTACTCAAATGTTCACTTGAAAGATAGCTGCATCCCGGCCCGGCGCACAGCGTACCTTTGTTCCCAAAGCCCTGTGCACAAGCCCTTTGCTGCCAGAAGAATTTTTCGTCATGTGATTTTATTTTTTTCCTCCCCCCTTCCCTCCCTCCCAGCTGCGTTGTTGATTGCACATAGGAGGCTCCGCGCCTGGGCGTACCTGTCTGGCTCGTCTAATTAGCTTTGGACGGGGTTCTCCTGCCCCATAATAAAGCAACATCTTTTCTCACTTAGCTCACGCTTTGGAGCACTTCCCATGCGCAGGATGACAGGACCAGATAAATGCCACTCTAATTGCCAGTGGCATGCATCTGACAGGTTTACAGCACACAGGGTTGGGAGCGATCTCCCGTTCTAGAAAAAGATGCCTTATGAAGCTGGAATCAGCCTTCAGGAACAAATATAAGCAAATGTTCCATTTTCATGCCTTCAGGGAATGAGGGGGACTGAACTGAATGAAGTCCAGTCCCCACCCCCACCTCTGCCTTGTACAGTCACACATCTGGCCCCAAATCCAAACCTAACTCTGCTGCCCAGCCACTGCTTTTTCATGCCAAAGGCTTCCATGCCATCAGATAACCTCATTAGCGCTTGACTTTTGGACTCACAGGAGGAAGCCTTGCTTAACTGGCTTCTCTGGGATTTTCAACCAGGAATTAGAAAGTGTTTTCCCGTACTGATGCTTTTCCAAGAATAAGACTTGTTAATTATGGAAACTCAGAAATAGCTCGGCACCATATTCCTTTCTTCCCGCTCCCTTCCCCGAAGGGCTTTTGCAGACCTTCCTCAAGGGAGGGGCCGTAGCCACAGAGGGAGTTTGCAAGTTTGCCTTTGCCATGGTTTTGTTAATTTGTGGCTCCATTTGGAGACACTGACTTGATTGTCCAACCTGGAGGTCAGAGGGGACTTTTGAAACATTCCCCCCAGCCGCCTTTTTATGGTGTATTTATCTTCCGCTGATTACAATTTCCTCTGAGGGGAAAAAAATAAAGAGGGGGTAGGGAGGGAAAGGGATAGCGTTACTGAATAATGAAAGATGACATTGCAAGGGAAAAAATGGAGAGAGGCTGCTCGGGAACTCGGAGAAGAAAAACAGAGTTGCCAGGGGTAATCGGAGTGAAGTGGAACGCAGCGGCATGGAGGGAAGCTGTAGTTTCATACCAGGTTTGCATGCGGCTCAGACAAAGCACAAAGCAGATTCTCGCTGCCTCTTTAACGTCACATCTGTCGCGTGCATCACTGGAGTCTGAGCAGTTCGGTGATGAAGGCTGGGATTGTCAAAAGTCCCCTAAGAGACGCAGGAGGAAAAGCCCTCTGAGCTTGCAGTGGAACTCGTGTCTCTCCACTTATGCCTACACAGTAAACTTACCATCCTTGCCGGCGGGGCCCTCAAGCTGCTCCAGACAGGAAGCTTTCTAAACTGGAAGCAAGGTATCTTTGGGCGGGCTAATTTGTGCAGCTTAGTGACAGTGTCAGTTAGCCTACCACCAAAGTAATTAGCCTGTCCTGCTAATTAGCTACACTTTCTGGTTTAGGAGGCAGCTCACACAAGGCAGAACAGAACGCTTAGCATGCCACTCCTGGGAACAGTAAGTTTAGTGGTTAGACACAGCTGTTATCGGCTAGTGGGCTTTGAAAATCCAGTCCAAGATCTAAGCCTTCCAAAGGAATTTGTCTGGGATACTCAAGTGTGTTGGATGTCCAGCTCCCAATGACTTTCAATAGGGCGGAGGAGAAAGGGGAGATGATGTTTGCAATCATGCAAAAGTGACTTAAGAGTCTTTTTACTGTTTTGCAAACGTGAGACAGGGCTCCAATGTACCTCCATCACTGGAAGTCAGCGGGACTTAGGAACTGAAGTTACTTCTGAAAATGTCAATGCCCCCAAATTTGAAAATTGTAAAAACCCTTGGGTACTTCTGAACGTTTTAGCCTGGGGGCTAAATGCTGTCAGGTTCCTTTGAAACAAACAGCCCTTAGATTTCTCTTCTTCTGAGCATCACATTCCTCCATTGCCTACTTCTCTACATTTCTCCTCTTCCTTGCCATGATTCGTGTGACACTGTAATTCCATCAGACAACTCAGTAAAGCAGTGAAGGTGGTCTGAGCCTTCTCCCAAAGATGCTGATGTGGGTTTTGTCATTGGCTTCAACGAGAGCAGGCTTGGGCCTGAAGGTTGGAGGAAAACTGCTCTCTCAAAATAAAGATCTGACCCTGCATTGCAGGTGAAGTGCCTGCTAAGGTCTTGGACAGCGGGATCTGGTGCCAGAGCCTGTCCTGTGCTATTCATGTTCTGTGCAGACCAGGTCCATTCTTCTGATTTTGCACGTTCCTTCTTGGCTTTTATCGGTTTTCTTTAGGAATCCTGTGCTGAGCGGAGACATCAGAAAACCAGCTGCACTTCAGACCTACAGGGTGAAACTCAAGGAGTGGAGTTTCTTGATTCCTTCACCTTAACTTATCTCCATCAAATTTCCCATTACCTAGCAAAAGAGCTTGCTCCCAGGGGCTGCGGTAACGGTATTGCATCGTGCAGGCCAGCGTCTTGTTCCTGTCATGGCCATGCTTTGAGGGATCTTTTCTCTTTTGTGCTGGAATTCAGTCCTTGAGGCCTGTCTGCATCTTCCAGATGGGAACGCTGTCTCTCCTGGCTTTGGTTTCAAACTGAATTTAAAGGAGCATTGGCCTAAGTTCTGAAGCCAGTTGGAGCTGCCCGAAGCCAGTGAGAGCTGTGCCTCTGAAATTCAAGCCATCCGTTGTTTATTTAGGGCCTAATCCTGCGGCTCCAGGAAGGCTCTGAGTGCAGGGACAGCAGGGATCTGATCACTCTGTGCTGCCAAGCTTAGCTCCTTGAAAGCTTGTGGTGGCCTGCTGCCTAGGGAAGGTTGTACAAAGTTCTTGTGGTTCCCCCAGTATGGGTTGGCTGGCGCAACAGTCCTGGTGCTACGGTACTCACTATTAAATGGCTCTGCTGCTGTGAAGAAGGGATGGAGATAAGTCTAGGGGTTAAAATGAGGCAAGGAAGAGAGCAGAGGATAAACATCCTGCCTTTGCCCTGGATTGGGCAAGCTCCTTCTCTGCACTGGCTGGTGCAGGGAGAGCTGCTTGTTCCCACAGCTTTCAGCCACCCTTGCTAACGTGCAGCCCACTTTGCTCATAAGCCATTACGATTGGGACAACGAATACACAATTTTCTACCCCTCTGATGCAGCAGTCAGGGGCCGGAGGGGTGGGTGCGGATCCGTGCCCATGAATGCTGACGTTAAATCTCGCCTCATTACGTTGCAAGGAAGAAAAGAACCTGGGCAGCGCACAATCTCTTGCATTATTTCACACGATCCATTTATTAGCGAGCAGTTTGCCAAAGGCCTTTTCAGCTGTACTTCTTTCCCCCCAGCCAAAGGATCAAATCTTCTTTGCAGTCACTTCCTCTCTCTTCCCTACCTTCCCCTCTCCCATCCCAGCAATTCCTTTTTTTCTTCTCTTTTTCAGTATAATTTAAGGGTTGAACTAGCCTAAAGGGAATTAGCTGTAAATTCTTCCTAAGACAAATAAATTCAGCCCTCTAAGTTTCTGCCTTTTTCAGACTGTTGAGAGACATTTTGCGTTTGTTTTCCTTGAAATAATGATCACGGCATATATGACCCTGAGGCTGCGGCCGGCTCTAACCAAATAAATAGCTTTTATTAATTAACGTTTATCCTTAACAAATAAAACCCCAATTTGATCTCAGCCGGCTGAATTAGCAAAAATAAACAACTGGTTCTCTGGGCACTTGATGTGGATTTAACAAATTAACACTGGGCCTTAATCAGGGAAGCCGCAGGGTGGTGGAGCCTTTTACAGCCAAGAAATCCTTTGGAAAAACAATGTCTTTCGTTTCTCCCATGGTCTTTCTCGGTAAACATGTGGACTCCCTTTATATACTCCAGGGAAACCAAAGGAGCTATCATAATGATGTCCACGTAGACTTCATGTGCAATTGTTTAACTCATTCCTTAAATCATGGAATCAATATTAAATGTCTCCCTTCGGATTAATCTGCCAAGTAAACGATACAGGCCTGCAGAGTAGATTTTTTTTTTCTCTAGATCTTTTTCTTTTTCTTCCCTTGAACAAAAATAATTTGCCCTTTTGCTAGTACCTTTCATCTGAGGAACTCAAAGCACTTTACAGATCTTAATTAATTCAGCTTCATACATTCTTCCCAGGAGGGAGATGCATGGGGAACCTGAGCACAAGGAGGTAAAGTGATTTGCTGAAAGCCATATTTCAAGTCGGCTGAAAAGAGAACCCAGGAGTTCTGACTCCTAGTCACCTGCTCTAACTCCTAAACCTCACCAAGCATCCTAAATATTCTCATTCCCTTTCTGGATCCTGACTTGGGAAAGCACTCTTATTGCAGACAGCAGGGGACCATGTGCCTAGCTTCAAACCCACTAAACTTTTGGTACAGACTCGAACAGGAATGGATCGCTTTCCTGATCCAGGAGTCTCACAGGGGAGGAAAGCAAAGATCAGGTCCTGAGTTGTCTGGAGAGCTCATTTCCCTCCTCTTACCACTTGACTACACTGAATTTCCTATTTGACAGTTATAGATGTGATGGGAACCAAAAACTCTACCATAAATATTTAATCTGCAGAAATTATGTCATGAGGTCTGTTGTGCCTGAGCAGTAATGAAGTTCCTGGACTTTTGCAAACATTTGCTTGCCCCCGCCACGTTGTTTTTAAGGACTCCGTCTATTGGATTTGGCCTGCGCAGCACAACACAAATAGAGACTGCAGAAGTATATACAGGCCTACACTCGGGCACAGCCTCCCTGGAGCTTGCCAGTGTCCAGGCTTTGAACTGTTTGCTCTCACTTGGAAAACCAGCTCAATTTGTGTAACCAAGCTGAGGTTTGCTCTGGGACCTGCTTTTCATCTCTCAGGCTAAGAAATACAATTCAATACAACGCTTCCTGGGGTACAAGCTTTCTTCTTCCACCCTGTGGTTGCACAGCTGTTTGCCATGGAAGGATTCCTCTGCCTTACATGTGTGGGAAGCAGTTAAGTTTCAGTGGGTCATTGACAGTGGGAGCGTCTACACGTTCATTAATGCACCTTTGCTAATGTGCATTAAATTTAGTACCTCCATTGAGAGGTACTAGAAAAAGGTGCATTAGCCTATTTTAATGCTCATTAGCGAAAGCAGATATTTTTTGTGACGCTTTAATACGCATTAAAATAGGCTAATGAACATTAAAGCACATGTGTAGATGCTCCCAATGGGTCTGACCCTGCAGGATGAGGAGAGCTTCTGGTGAGGTTCTCCGAACACACAGTTCCCACTGATTGCTTTCAGCACCACAGAGGATCGGGCCCTACAAGGCCAAACCTGCTTCCAGCCAGGTCAGCAATAGTACTTGTGTTCGCTCCAGGCTCTGTGGCAGAGATTTATTGTTGTTAATGGTGGTATCGCTGTAGCCCCCAAGTGAGGTCAAGGCTTAGTGGTGACAGGCACTGCACAGACACCTTGTGAGAGACAGTCACCACCCAACAGAGTTTATCACCTCAATTAGACAGGACAGACAGGAAACCGAGGGAAACTGTGTCTTGGAAGTTCCAGCCCCATCTAGTATCTGGCAGGCAAAGCTGGGAAGATTACTCAAATCTCCTGAGAATCATAGACAAGCCATATAACCAGCCTGCCTCCCCACACCCCACTTGAGAGCAAGTCTAAAACTACCTATTCAAGATAATGAGGCTACCGATTTGTACTTTGGTTTTGACTTTAAGGTTCCTTTTCTGCTACTTCTCAGAAAAGGCCTTGCCAGCATGAAATGAGATGAACCACACAGCCTTCACTGAGAACTGCTGGCTTTGAGAACATGGTGCATTATACCAAGAGGAGATGGGCCAAGCTTTCAAGCAAGGGCAGAGGAGCAGCCACTGTCCCCCGGCAGCTCGAGGAGCTGCACCTGTGACGTTGCACGTACTAAGAGCTGGATCTTGTGCCCACTGGAGCCCAGCGGCAAAGCTCTAATTAACTTCCTGGTGCAGGGGTTTGCCCTCAGTTGGCAATTCCCTGGCTAGACCAACATTTATGCAATAGGCTAGAGAGCCCTGACTTGGTGACACCAGACTCTTCCATGAAGCACCTACCCACCTGGGAAAAAAAACAGGCAAAAAGAAAAAAAAAAAGGAAATGCAACAGTTTAGGACCATTGAGCAAAGGGATTCACATGTCCATTTAGACCCATCTACCAAACAGGCCAGGCACAGTAGTCTGATGACTAAGAAAGATGGGCTGTGCTGGGCTACCATCAAAAGCCAGAGCCCACCCATCCTGGCACCCTCCCCAGTCCCCACTTAGACTGGGGACTCCCTGCAATAGTGGCTGGGCCAGCCCACGGGAGCAGTGGAGCCTGGTCCCAAGTCATCAGGGCCAGGGTGGAGTACCACTAACTGCTTGAGCTGCACCTGGAAGCAGTTAGCCACTTGGCCTGCTTCAGGGGCCCTCTGTATCAGCCATGGTTAGGTTTTTGGAGTGTGTCAGGGATTTGCATATGCAGCTTTACAGGCTCCCCATTGAGCTCTCTGCCAACAGTGAAGCCCCTGGGGACCTTTGAGAACGTGTAATGCAGATCACATGGCTACAGCAGTGGGCTCCATTTTGATGAAGCAAACTCAGTAAATTGTCCTGCCTTCCCTCTGGTGCCTTTGACAGCAGGAAGGAGCATTACCCATGTCTTGGATCATGGCAAACAGCAAGTTCTCATTTGTGCTGAGATAACCAAGCCACGGCAGATGGCACCACCCTGTGAGAGCGAGCTGAAATTGTCTTTCCAGTGCAGAGACCTGGATTCAGACCTTTTCCCCAAGCAAGGCAAGCTTAGCTATAGGGCTTATCTTTACCTTCTTCCCCAAGCAAGCCAAGCTTAGCTATAATGCTTATCCTTACCTTCTCTCCACCTCTCCTATTAAAAGCCAATCCCTGATCAAGCCAGTCCCTCATGGGCTATTCTGTTGCCAGAAAAGCACTTGAGGACTAAGCGGAGAGCTTTTATGGCAGTGATTACTGTGCTGTTTGCATAAATCACATGCTGTATGTTCAGTCTGATTGGATCCCTGAAGGATCAAGTGTCCACTGCGAGCCCAAGCTGCAAAGCACCGACTTGGAGTTAACTGGCTGGAAGCAATAGGTCATTTTCCTTGCTCGAATATGGAGATGGGGGAAGCTGTCTTTCTGGATCATGCATAGCTGGCCCTGATGATCAACACCTAGCGGAGAGAAAGTTTGGCACTCAGCGGCGGCGTCAGGTTGAGGGCATGCCGTGCTGCTAGGAACTGGAGCAAAACCACCCGACAGGAGGAAATATGCAAGAAGCCCTGAGACTTGGCTCTGGGAGCAGTACCCAGCCCTCCCACCACCACGGCTTTTTCCACTCTGCGGTGAGTTTTCGAACAAAAAGCAACGAACGAGCTCATTGTGGAAGGAACCGAGCTCAGGACGGGGCCAAGAGGAATGTGTGCGCGGGGGGAGGGAGAGTCCAGAAAACTGCTGAATCCTAAGGAAACTTTCCCGGCGCAAGTGAAGGACATGAAAAATTTAAGAGGGGGGCAAGTCTCGGCTACTGTAGAAACATTACAGCAAAATGTTTCCGAGGATGTTTCACCTCATTAATTGTGAAAAAGCTGAAACGCTGACACGTTTTTACAGGCTGCCAGTTTTGCTGGGGAAAAGTGTCTCTGTTTAAAAGGAGCAGCGAAAGCCCCGACTGAGAAGGAGGCCAAAGCTCTCCCGTGAGGGTCTTTCCCTTCCACTCACTGACAGGCAGCAGCAGACTATTTTATAGTTATGGAGCTGCAGGCTGCACCAGCCAGAAACCACCCGGACCAGCCTTTCTCTGCCACAGACTTCACTGCCACCCTTACCCATAGGAATCCTTCCCCATGGGAATAAACCCAGGAACCTCAGTAAGGCTACTTGTCTGCTGGATTGGGTCCTGAGAGCAGAATGATCTCCGATTGTAAAGTCTCTGGGACAGAGACTGCCTATATGTTTTGTGCTTACTCAGCACCTGGCATGTGTTCATGTTCCCAGCTACTACTTCAGTACAACTAATAAATGATGACAGATGCCGAGAGCCTGACCCTTGGCCAGTGTGATGCCACAGAAG